TATATATATATATATATATATATATATATATATATATATATATATATATATATATATATTTGCTATGAAATGGCAACTATCTTGATTTCTTACATGGCAGTCAGACAAGTCATCATCTATTCACAACAAAGTTTGGTGACATTTTTCCACAACTTCCCTATCTTGAATTCTTCCATATTCACAACAAAGTAATTAATGCTTTATTTCATGACTTGAAACCTTGTGGAGTGCATGTGTACAAGTGTGGGAACAAAGTGTATGGTGGGAAACAAAGGGATGGATAATGGTGCATATACCCACATTTCCTAGTCAAGTAATACTCTCAAACACCTTTGGTTGCTTCAGAAAATCCTGCACAAATAATTTGCTAAAGCATATTTGATCCAAGATAGGACTAAATTTAAAATAAAATATAAAATCATAATCATCAAAATTGAATCGGTTATCGACTTGATCAACTATGATCATCGGTTGAGCCAATGGGTCACCTGATTGGACCATAATTTTAATTTTTTTTTATATTTTATGTTAAAAATATAATATTTATAGATAATACTATAATTTTTTTATTTATATTGGGATGGGATGGAAAGAAGAAAAAAAGAAAACAAATATATCCTATTCTTTTTTAACTGCAGATGCTCAAAGCCTAAATATTTCTCACTAAAGCAAAACCATCACAATGCTAAACAAGCTGAGCTAACAGTAATGGTTGGCCTTCAACTTCCTTAGTGACTTTAAATACACTAATAATGAAGCAGAGCAAACATTGGCAATTTAGAGTGAACAAAACACATTGGAAATCTTGCTCTCAGAACACAATTTGGGTGACATGCAACAAAATCCACACAGTGAAAGAATTTGCAGATAAATCTGATGCTCTCAAACTTGAACACGATCGATCTAATAAACAAGAATACAACATGTCACCGAAAAGAGAAAAGAAAAAGCAAAGCACAGATCAGGTTGTATCGTATATATACTCCTAATACTACTGCCAGACTTGAACAGCCTAGTTTGCCGAAAGAAAGTAAGAACAAGGAACGCTTGCTCATCTTATGGCAGGCATTGAATACAATGATAGTGTTGCACGTAAAAATCCCAAGCAAAGCCAATATAACCTCAACAGAGCCACAACAATATGGAAACATTACCAAACTGACACCAAAAAACTACCCCGACAAAAGCAGAGAAGGCTTGAACCAAGATATTCATCAGAAGCATTTCCTGTGTACAATAGAAGGTCCAGATTCTTCATACTCTTGCTTGGAAATCCACATCTGTTGCATCAAAATGGATAGATTCGGAATAAGCAACTTGGCACATAAAAACTGGTGTAGGATAAGCCAGAATTAACAATAAAGGAATTTGATTTGCAGATATAAACTCAGAACAGGGACAAAATAACTGTTGCTGGTAAGAAACTAGAATATAATTATGAAAATAGCCTCCAAGGAGACATTGCATTGCGTGCACAGTTAGGAGGTCAAGAGTTTGAGTCCTGTTGTGAGCATCTAGCATGCATATTATGTAATGTTTGAATGAGTAAATTAACAAAAGAAAATAACAAAACCGTGATAAATGGAATTACCTGCTGGAAAGTGCTAAGTGAGGCAAGAATAGAGCCACCTATCCAGACACTATACTTCCGCTCAGGTGGGGCAACCACCTTAATCTTCATGCTGCTTGGGGCAAGGGCTGTGATTTCCTTGCTCATCCGGTCAGCAATTCCAGGGAACATTGTGGAACCACCACTGAGAACTATATTGCCATACAGGTCCTTCCTGATATCCACATCACACTTCATAATGGAGTTGTAAGTGGTCTCATGGATGCCAGCAGCTTCCATACCAATCATGGATGGCTGGAAGAGGACTTCTGGGCACCTAAATCTCTCGGCACCGATTGTAATAACCTGTCCATCAGGAAGCTCATAGCTCTTTTCCACAGTAGAGCTGCTCTTGGCGGTCTCTAGCTCCTGTTCATAGTCCAATGCGACATATGCAAGCTTTTCTTTAATGTCCCTGACAATTTCCCGTTCTGCTGTTGTCGTGAATGAATAACCTCTCTCGGTCAGGATCTTCATTAAGGCATCGGTCAAATCACGACCAGCAAGATCCAGACGAAGAATGGCATGAGGCAGAGCATATCCTTCATAGATTGGGACAGTATGGCTCACACCATCACCAGAATCCAGAACAATACCTTTCATCGAATGAATGCAACATATTAGCTGTGTAATCATAAATACAAGTAATTAGTAATACAAAATGAGACATACCAGTTGTACGACCGCTGGCATACAGGGAGAGAACAGCCTGAATTGCAACATACATAGCAGGCACATTGAAGGTTTCAAACATGATTTGCGTCATTTTTTCTCTGTTGGCCTTGGGGTTAAGAGGAGCTTCAGTGAGCAATATAGGATGCTCCTCAGGGGCGACACGAAGCTCATTGTAGAAAGTGTGGTGCCAGATCTTCTCCATGTCATCCCAATTGCTAACAATACCATGCTCAATAGGGTACTTCAAAGTAAGGATACCTCTCTTGGACTGAGCCTCATCACCAACATAGGCATCTTTCTGGCCCATCCCAACCATGACACCAGTGTGACGAGGTCGGCCTACAATGCTAGGGAACACAGCCCTAGGAGCATCATCTCCAGCAAAACCAGCCTGCATGATGGAAATTATACTAATGCACAATATCCAGTACGAGTATACAAGAGAACATTCTGGAATCTGGATAGGATATCTAACCTTGACCATCCCAGTACCATTGTCGCAGACAAGAGGTTGGATTTCCTCACCATCAGCCATTTCTTTATGATCTGCAAAAAATTAGGTTGTAGTCAGAACAATCAAAGTTTCACACATATATATATAAACATCTGACTATAGTTTTATCTCGTCACTGTTATAACCTATGAGGCTGTCATTTTAGTCTCACAGAAATGGCAGATTGAACAAACAATGATCACTCAAAATGGTATCTGAGAATGTTTCAGGCATGACAATGATGTGGTCAAAATTCAAACTTTCTAAGAGCTGCAAACAAATATTATACTTCAGTTGCAAATCTCTCGAAAGCCAACAAACAAATTGCACAGAGGCGATGTATATCTGAGTTCCTCTAACACTCCAATCATCTAATTATTGCCTAACATAATCACCGCAGACCAAATAGAACAGGTTCATGGAACAATGATCTCCAATTATTAGAGACGACCGCGTCCTCAAATCTGGAATTTACTCGCAATTCATTGAAAAGAGGCTCAGACATATTCCTGGACATGGTGATCAAACTTCTCAAAGGTCACATGAGCTCGCAAGTGGCTAATCCAGTAAATTCCATGCATACGACATCGAAATCTCCTGTGAAAGATAGCACATGCAAAGAAGTGAATGAAGCAAATGACACACGGAAACAGGTGCCAGATGCAGATCTTAAGAACATAACAATCCTGCAATGGACCTCGCTCGAGATCCGACCTCCGATCACCATACTCAAATAACAGAAAGGAAAATCTAACCGATCTTCGATCTCCCGATCGAAAGTCTCAATACGATTCAGGAACGAACAATGAAAAGATAAAAATCTTTCGACCGCTTTAAGACTAGAGAAGTGGAGGCAGAGTACGAACCCTATCGATAGCAGAATGGAGGCGGTTGAGCGGTGGACGGATGCTCCGCCGGGGAGGAGAGGCGCGGGGCTCTTTCGAGGGAAGCGGAAACGGGCGACGGAAGAGTGGAGAGAAGGCGAGGGGGTTTTATATGCCACAAAAGGTTTCGAATAGAGAGAGAGAGAGCGACTTTTGCCTTCCCATTCTTTCTTGCCCACCATGGCAAGCTGTGCAGTGTCAGCGACACTAAAAAGAAAAACACCATTTCCGATTCACCCACGTACTTACCTTTCAAGTGACATCTGTGAGTTCGTTTGGTTCCACCAATGACAAGACTGGTTTCTAAGATGGTTATAATAATAAGTAGGTAATTTTATTTATTAAAAATAGCCGAGAGTGAGCTGTCTTCTGACGACCTCAACCGTCAGATCGGATAAGGTGGGCTGACGGAGACCGTCTGATCTAGCTTTGGAGGGGATGGGCCCCGGAGGCATAACCTGCGGTGGGGCCCACGCCAACTCGTCCACCGTTCGTTCGTCGCTGGCAATGAGCCGAGCCGATCCGATATGCCTCTTCTCCGGGTTCGGATCCTCTCCGATTCCTTTGCGCGGATCCGAATAAGAATTATTTGGTCCGACCCGTGGCGCTCCATCTGATGGTACGTATGTATGGTGATGGGTCGATCCACTAAGCAACATCCATTAACGGCAGAACTAAAGCGGATCCGCATCCGATTCACACACGCTCTCGCTCTCCCTAGGTAATGTGAGTAAGAATGATGCACACACGGAATGGCACAGAGAAAGACTTGGCTGGCCTCCTTGGATGAATGGAATGGCATGGTGAGGAGGTGATCACATGAGAGCCAACACCCTCAGCACTGTGTGTAAAGGAAATCAAAAGCTGGGTGGGTGTGTTTAAGCTTTACGACAAAGGCAGCTGTTAATAGAAGAGCATGCTATGCTACAAGTTGGAAAGCTCTCCTTTGGATGGATGAATCAAACCTGCTTGGCTTTACTGGGGACATGAAACAACAGCAGGCCCACCACTAAGAACATGGATGATGATGATGATGATGACGTGATATATATATACATATGTATATATAATTACATACTTTGATTGATTCTCTCATATCGAATTTGTGTATATCATTAACAATTTCTTATTGATTAGAAAGAGAACTTAATTTGAGTTGCCACTTGTCCAAACCCTTCATTATTGTTACTAATTTTGGTTTGGTTCCAATCAATTCATAAATTGTTGTTCGATAACATACATAAATTGGATCGTAAATTATTTTTTCTTTTAACTTTAGAATTTAAAGTTCTCAATAATCCCCTTTCATCTAAAAGGGTTATGACTCGCACCCATAATCAACGTACTCCATATTTTTTTCTCCTCTTTTTTTTTTTTTTTCATTGTGAATCAATCAACGTACATATCATATCTCGATATGTCGATACATAACAAATCTATATGAGTTCAATCATAAGTTTGAGACTAAAATTTAAAACCATTATACTTTTTATTTAAATTAAAATAATATTGACAAGTGAACTAAATCCAAGCATATGGTCTGAGTTAAAATATTATGGAAAACATATGTTTTGGGTGTTGTGATTATCGAAACAAAAATTTTATCATATTTTTCATGATGAAATTCATTAAGATAAACCAAATCAGATTCTCCTTTTTGACCTTTGTATGTTACTTGCATTATGAGTAACTTCAAAAAAAAAAAAAGTTAGTTTTATTCCTAGACATGGTGGGTTGGACCAATGTGTCCTCTATATTTATAGTTCTTTTGTACTATCTTTTAATGATCATGAATCATGATTCCAGTGGCAATGGAGATATCCATTTAGAGTTTAGATGCATCCTTAACTTTGATCCATCTTGGATTAGATGTATTCATATATTTCAGAAAAAGGATGTGGGAGATTCACATACAGCAATGATTAATATAAGGTTAAATATTTATATTATGGTGCAATTGTCATGTACAAATAATTCAATGAAAAGACCCTTTTTCTTTCTATAATGGTAAAAGCGGTAGATGAATAATGTGTGAAATATAGAGATTTGATTTTTTTTTTATATTTGTTTTTCAAAAAAAAAATCTACTGAGCTAAGCATGCAATTGAGGTTTCCGAGCTGGGATTGATGAGATTTATAGGTTGGCTATATCACCATCAAGGGGCAGATTGCCTCAATAATAGTCTTCTTTTAACACCCTAAAGTTAAACCAGGTTGGTCCTTGAAAACGATATACTACCTACAGCCATGAGATCAAAGAAAAAGAACAATAAAAAAGGTTGTGATTTGAAAGAGAGAGCACAAACCTAAGTCACTGTCTCTTTCAATCGGAGAAAAGCACCGCAATGAGTTGAGGGAAGATGAACTGAATCTCCAATCCGGCTAGGTTTAATTAGAGTATTTATTAATTAATTTAATCGGAGATGAGCTTTCTAGGGAAATTGAGTTTCATAATGATTACCATAAAATTATAAGTCTATCATAAGATTTGCAAACCAATAAATATCAATCGATCGGTGTTTACGATGATTCCTTAGCTGAAAACCATTGCTATTGTTTGTTGGTTAAAGAAAGAAAAAACTTGTAATTTATGAAGCGGTCTATTTTGAGGTTTATAATTTTAAGGTTTACATCAGAACATAAGTTTAATTAAGATATTGTTGAATCTAATTTGAAAGGAGCTTAAATAGAAAAATAAGGATGCAAACAGTCTACTTTAAGGTTTAGCAAACAATAAAACCAATATGTATATCGATCAATATTTACGTATCCAACATAGTTTTTGACATGCGAATCATGAAATTGCTCATGATATATACTCGTATCGTCTCCTCCTACGAGTATTGCCTCCTCTTCTCTTCCTCTTTCTCTACGGTTTGTGCAGGCCATCATGAAGGGCTAGCGGGTCGACACACACTCAGCACGTCAATATCCGTGCTCAGGTCGAGATTTAAAACCGTGGTCGATCGGTGGTCGGCCCAATTGGTTCGGTAAAAAGAAGCCGGTCTTTTCTTGAATGGGCCAAAGCAATGATAGGATATTGGGACAATTTTATGGAATAAACCACAATAACATCAGGACATGGTTGGGCAAAAGCCATCAAGGGCAACAAAACTCCACCCAGACTCTTCCAAACAACAGTAGAAGAAGACTTGGCCATGGACACAATTATACTGCTCTTACCTAAATAGCTGCAAAGTACTCCTTGCTAAGCTTGGGATCTGGCTTCATGGACTTCTCTCCGGGCTTCCATCCTGCAGGGCAAACCTCATCTGGGTTTTCTTGGACATATTGCAGTGCCTGCAAGCCAAGATATATGAATTAAGATTGGGATACACAACATGTTATAGTGTTGAATGCTGAAGAACCATAGTAGCTGTGTATCTCATAGCAAAAGCCATAATCATCAGTGATGATGGGTGATGGTAAGGCCCACACTAACTATGTGCCAACTCTATTAACCATGAGGAATTGTCTGTTTTGGAATTGGATAATCTTGTCATCGCAGGAAAGGCACATTTGGAAAAGGAGTCGATTGACTCTCTATTAGGTCTTCACTCTCCGATCAATATGAGACTATGACCTTATCAGGTGGGATCCAAGAAATATGATATCCTACAGTTGGGTTTACCATGTGATGTATCTCGTATTGGTGTCAAGCTACCATTTTACGAAAGAGCAAAAATATGATGGAATATCACCAATTTCATGGCAGCATCGCCATGGGAGTGAAATTAAATTTTGGTCTCATTACCTGAAGAGTCCTCAAGGTTTCATCAACGCTCCGGCCAATCGCAAGGTTATTAATGGTTGAATGCTGAATCACTCCTTCCTTGTCAATGATGAATAGTCCTCGCAATGCAATTCCCTGTCAGATCATACAATTGACACATAATGGTTTCACTTTTTATCTGCCACATGTTGAAAACAAATTGCGAGGGAGGGGGTGGAACCTGATGTTAAGAAACATGAGACTGTCTAGATTATATCTTGGGTATTTTATAATTTGTAATATGAAAAAAATGCATAACTTTACCTGGTCAGGAATCAAAACACTGTAAGATTTTGAGATTGATTTAGTGACATCAGAAATCAATGGATAATTCAGATCCCCAAGACCTCCTGACTTCCTATCTGTCTGAACCCATGCAAGATGGGAGAACTGCAGATGAGATATCAGTAGGATTAGAAAACAACAATAAATTCCAGATATTGGAAGAAATAGGATTATATATCAGTACTGGAAGCAAGATGGACCAGAAGCTACAACTGATTTGCCATTTTTGCCTTACTACCTTCAAGGCTTCAACCTCTTATAACCTGGCAAACTACTTCAAAATACCATGCTCAAGATAGACACCCCGAAAAGTATGTGGCCAAACTACCGAAACTAAAATCATTTAAAAATGAGAAAGGCATTTTCAACGAAAAAGGAAAATTTTTAATGAAGACCTTCTGCTGCAGAACTTATGAGGTCATCCCTTGTGAAACTTATATAGTAAATCAAACAAGATCAGTAGTATCTTACTTATGCTATCATAATAAGAACAATTCATATATCAGCAGAAGTCATAGTAATTAAGAAACTAAATTCAGAAGTTTGCATGCATAATTTTGAAGCGCTCAGAACCTCATCAGTCCACTTTTAAGTCCAAAGAAACATCAGACTTCATAAATCAAATGAATAGGTAAAGAGCAAAACAAATTCCATATATGGGCAAAAAACACTTTACCACACTGTCAACTGAAACACCTAAGATCTCTGTATTTAACTTCTCAAAGTCTGAATACCGGTCACTGAAAGCAGTTATCTCTGTACAAAGGGAATGATAGTTTAATGTCTACTTATGCATCCATAAAATCGCTCTACTTAAAATGTTTATTGTGTTCCCAAGTTAAAAAGTTTGCACTTACCAGTAGGACAGACAAATGTGAAGTCCAGTGGATAGAAAAACAGAATGACGTATTTCTTCCCAATATAATCAGAGAGTTTGACCTACCAAGGCAGAGAAATGATTAAAGCTGAAGAAAATTATTCACATTAAATCTCGAGTAAATAATAAAAAAGTTCCCAAAGTTGCTTTTGTTGTCAAGTTATGTGATAGAACCTTAAAAGAATAGAGCTTTGAGGAGTTCAAAATGTTTAAAATAATGGATGCTCATGAAGCTTACAAACATCTCCATTCATTAATCATAATACACTCAAAACATAGGCTACTCTAAATTATTGCTTGATAGCAGACAAATTGCATTTTTGGAGCTTAGGGAGTTATGGCTACAGTCAATATGATAATAGAGCAAGGTTGAGGGTGTTCTATCATTAACAGTCATGGACAATGATGGTTTATTGTGTGCATCTAGACATGCAATCAACAGACATAAACAAGGGTGTAATGACCAAAGCAAAAAATGAATAATATTCTAAAATGAAAGAGAATAAACAAACAAAGATTGCAATATTAGAGCAAGTAATAACTTCTAATTATCAATTAGAGAGGAAGAAATTTTGATCTTTAGAAATTTAAATTTCCTAAGGGCATTTTAAGCATTTGCTAAGAACTTCTAATTATCAATTACAGAGAGAAAGAGAACCCAATGAAAAAACAACTAAATGGCCACTGCTGCCTAAGATGTACAGTCATACACAAAATCCATGTCGGGAATTTTATAACATCTACAGTTACCACGATATAAAGGAAACAATTTCTACCTGTTTTATGCGTATCCTCGGTCTAAACTTATGCAAGGTTTCCAGATATAGCTCAGGATATATATACTCCTATGAACAATCTGACATGTAAATCCCAAAAGTTACTAATGAACATGTACTCCCTGTGCAGACTGTGGATACATTTAGTTGAATAAAATTTCTCTTTATCTAACAAGAAATTTGAATTTCAAATCTTGTCAACTACTTAAGCAAATATTAATACTAAAGTTCCTACCAGTGAATCACAGTTCTTTCTATTATAGTTCTTAGATGGATAGAACATTTGAACCTTAAGGTTAATTTGTATTTCCCCTCCCCTCCCAGATCCAAGCATTTTATTGTTCATGCGCATCACAACTAGCTTCATTAAACAAAAAACAATGAAAAAGGAGTCTTTAACATATCTGTCCTCCCAAAGTTTGGAAATACCGTATTTTCCCCTACAAATTTTATATAGCATAAACATATATGTGTATCCCTCCAAATATTAGAATTCTTCACATAAATCGCTCCGGTTAGCATCGATCTAGAAACTCAAATAAGCATCGACCTTAGTTAGTTTAATTAAAAACTATCTTTAAGCACCTAAGATGTCTCCAATGTTCTTATAACCATAATGAGTTCTTATAGCGCATTAACTTCGTCCAGAGTTTTAACTAACAGTCAAATGATAATTAGATGGTGGAGATTAACCATAATTAATTGCTTTCCATAACTCCTTGCAAACAAAATAAATCCCTAAACACTCTTAACCACCCATCAAATCACAGATACAACTTACATGGCAAGATGCTGTAATTTCAAACCAATAATTAACTTTCTTAATCATGTCCAAAACGAGTGCATATAACAAAAGAAGCTTTCTCGAAAAAACAATACAGAAGCCAACATCAAACCACAGTTGCTTCGCAGACCAATGAGTACATGAAAAAAAGCCAACATGTGCATACATTGATGAACTCCTGATCAAAAACAGCTTCCGCTTCAAAGTCTGGAGCTTTATTTCCGACTAAAGGCAGATCGTTCTGCCAGAAGAAACATCATTTAGAGCGAACCCTAATAGACCGAGACCATCAAAATTCATGAAGAGAAAAGAAACCGAGGAACAGAACCTCGCTTGAGGCTTTGACGGTGAAGCCTCTCGAGGATGATCTCGGAGCAGATGCCAATCGGGGAGAGCGAGCACCGAAGGTCCTGCCGGCCCTCAGGCCGACAAAGCCTTTCGGGATGGCTAGGGTTTTCGAGGGAGGGTACGGATGGGAAGCTAAGGAAGCCATCGGCGTTGCAGCGTTGGAGGAGGCGACGGAAGGAACGTAGCAAGAAGCCATGGCGATGGAGCTCGATGTATCTCCCCTTCTCGCTTCCTATCCCACTCTCGATTCGGTGCGCTCCGGTTTCGTTAGGATAAGACTCGAGAGGGAGCGAGGGTACTTATTGGGCTTTAAGTAGCGAACCGGAGTCACAGAATACCTCCAAGGGGAGGCGGGGAGGATAACGGTAGGTCGCTCGAGATCGGAACCCATCTTTTAGATCCGACCCGGTACGAGCGGACCCGTTTTACATGACCTGTTAGCTCGCGGGTTGGATCCGTTTAAAGGATCAAAAAGAAGAAAATTGAGGCTAGAACCCTCAGAAACTGACATTATATTCAATAATCTAACTTTATAAAATCATGATTAAATAGATTCGTATAATTTCCAATCACGTTAGCCTTATAGAAAAATATTTTTAAATCGCATAAATTCAACCAGTAAAATTACATGGCCAAATTCCTTAGAAAAACATCTGTTTTTAGTTCATATGACTTTATTGTTTCTAATTAATAAATTAAAATAATATCAATATATTATATAAATAATAATAATAACTTTAAAATTATACATATAAATATTATAAAAACAATAAATTTATGATAATGTAATGATACAATTTGAAGCTTTAAGCACCGAAACAAATGAAAATTATATTTTAAAGGTATAAAAAAATAGTCTTTTATTCTTTTTAGATCAATTCGAAGTTAGCTATTCTGAAAAATTAAGATTTTTTTTTTAAAGTAAGACGAGTTACATTTTTGTCCACTTAAATTAACAATTGTTGCCATTCAACGTAGTTAAAGGAAGCAGTGGCCAAAGAAGGACGGCTGACGCAGATCCAATTATTGAAGGGCGAAACGTCTAAATTAGAGCGCTGTGTCAATCCGACGGCCCTGATATCTGCCTATCTTAAACACATCTGCTTTCAGATGATCTTGACCGTTCACAAATAATTTGGTGTGACCGACTCGATTGTTCCGATCGAGATAAGAGTCGGAATGTGTCCGACTCATCAACTAACCAATCAGTTCTATACCAACTAATTTGGATTCCAATTAAGGTTGATTGCGACTGCGGCATATGTTACTTTGAGCCACGAGATTGTATTACCGTTATGTGATAATACGTACACATATTCATATATACGACAATTAACATACGATTATATATATATATATATATATATATATATATATATATCTCCTCGCTCTCTCTATATATCTTTCTCGGTCTTCGCGATGGTAGGCGAAGTCGTCGCCGACGAGCAAGCCACAGGCACAACGGCCAGGGGCGATATCGTAATTCACTACTGGAGGCCGGGGGCGACCCACGTCGGGGACCCCTCACCGCAGCAAGGCTCCACGAACGGCGGCGGCGAACTGGGGCGCCACACCCGGGCGGAGGAGGAGACGGGGTACACCAGCCTCCGGGATCTCATCGGCCGGCGGCCACGGCCCGGAGCCACATGGTCTACGGCGAGCTCCGGCGGCTGCGAGATCCGGATCAAGAACCACCTCGTGAAGCAGGCCGCGCACGCGTACCTCCAGCCGACGCCGTTGGCGACCGAGTGCCGCCTCAGTGGGCCGCTCCGGCGGGTCCTCGACTTCGTCACCTGTTGCTGCGTCGCCGTGGAGTCGCTTGGTCCCTGCGTCGATTTCCTCCGCCGCCTCTTCCGCGGTTGGCGGCGATGACTCGACGGCAAGACGGCTGGTACCAGATTCAGTGTGTTTTTTTGTTTCTCCCTTCATGAATTATTTTTATTTATGTAAAGTTACAGGTGGAAAGAAATCAACTCATTAACTCAAAATTGTCACGTGTTGAAAAAAAAATGTTTGATCATTTATCCACAAATTCTTCTAAATTTCATAAACTCTGATTTATGCCCTTAAAAGTATAACAACATCAAATATATACAATTTTTTGTATGTACTACTAATTATCATCCAATAAACGCAAGTCAACTATCCCTAATTTTTTTTTAAAAGAATGAATATTTCAAATGCCTAAAATTCCTTTTTATTATTTCCATCAACTATTTGACTCCCATTCTTCCCAATATTTCTGAAGACGGTAGTAATATCAATTTAAATTTGAGCATCATTAAATTAGTTTATAGAATGAATTATCTATAATATATATATAAACTTTAAGTCTTGAATAGTTTGACATATATTTAAATCATTTAGTACTAATGCCACCTTCAGACTATAGTTCTCCAATGTGGATTGGTGGGACCGGCAGAAATGATAAGAACCAGCGGTCAGAATTGGACCATTCTACCAATTGATTTCAGAATGAATCGGATAAGATGGGCTGTGGGCCCTGTCAGGTACGCCGCAGGTAATTGGAAGTTGTGGGGGAGGTGGGCCCACTCCCAAGCGCTAAATCTGGTGTGGTAGCCACATGTGTAGGTGTTACCAGGGTAAAGAATTCGACAGCGCAGCGCATGAGTATCGGTGGCGTGTAAACGGATCGGAGCTCATAGAACGGGTCTTCGATCCGACGAACCGATCAGGTCCGACTTCTTCGTTCCAACCCGAGATCGAGATCGAGATCGAGCCCTAACCTCAGAGCCTAACCACGGCCGACCACCCCTTGGCCAGCGGTTCACAGCGTCGGGTAAGCAGTACGATGAGGCCGCAACGTTTCTTGAGGAAGACAATATGAGAGAAGGGGGTCGAGTAGAACAGAGGAAGAGAGACAGAGACGGGTACCTGGAGATGGCACGGATGGGAGGAGAGGTATTAGTGCTCCCGATGTGAGCTCCTAATGCTCGCCAGTGAGGAGAGGAAAGAAGACAGAGGAGAGGAGATGGGGGGGAAGGGTGAGACGGGAACGTTTTGGGAGTTGGCGTGCGGGATTTCACTTGCAATTAGCCGTTGGATCGAATCATATCTGATATCAATATATCGAATCGGGTTGATCTCGGTTCACGTTCGGTCCATTGCATGACGGAGTCCAACCGCGGACTAAAGGCTGGGAAACGAGGAGAAAGATGAGGGTAGAAATAAATGGTCTGTATAATCTGACGTAATTCCCCATTGTTCTCAACTACCACAATTATCATAGCATTAATTTATGTTCTTATGGCTTTGCGTCCCCAACTAAGAAACCCATAAATCATACCCCACTTCTCCACGTTCAACATCAAGAACGTGAGGCAGTAAAGATTGCAGCTTTAACATCACCTTCAAAGAGAAGACAAGGAGAACGAGCACAGAGAGGAGAGACGGCCAAGGAAGAAGACCAGGAGACGCAGTAAAGAACGATGACTCGGCCCGCTGTGGCTGAGTTCAGGGCTTCCTGGTCGTCTTGGTGGTGGTGGAGTCGTGGAGGAAGTCGAGGAGGACGGCGCTCTTGCACTTGGGACACCTGGCGTCATCCTTGGAGAGCATGACGTACATGAGGCACCGGGGGCAGGCGGCGAGCACCATCGACGACGTCGCTTCGGGGCTGTCGGCGTCGGACGACAGGCACGAGCTCGGCGAGGACTCCCCGTCGCTGACAGCGGCGGCAGCCGCCCTTCTCGACGTGTCTCCTCTCGTCGGCGGCGGCGGCGCCAGGTTCAGCTTCAGGTCCACCTTCTGGCCTCTGCGGCGGCTCATCGTCGTCCTCCTATCGAACACCCTAAACCCTATCTGCGACCACAAACAACAGTACTCCATAACGCTCAATAGTTCGAGTTACCGATGCCAACCTCGAACAGTCGCATGTCACCAACCTGCAGCAGCTCTGGAACCCGACAATGGCGAAGAAGAGTGGCTTCTACGGGTGTTCCTTAGCAGCAAGCAGTGGAAGCTACACCACCATGAATGGCATTATATAAGAGCTTTGTAGAGGTCAATCGCTTGTCTTCATCACAAAACAACAAATACTAATATATATATATATATATATATATATATATATATATGATAAGAAATGTAGTGTAGGGTTTTGCCCTTTTCTTGTTGGTGATGAGAGAAGAAAGTGATATGGCCAATGGCCATGAATGCGAGACGGGTTAACTTAATGCATGGGGCTTAAAATATACAGCCCTCAGCAAATGCTCATTTACTGCCAATTTAATGAAGAGACGAAGGACGTGTAGCTCTACAACACATTTGTCTCCTCTCCCCCACCAAGAGATAAGTATACATTAATGTCCTTTGTTTGATGCATGCATGCGAGCAAACCTTAAAGACACCATCCTCTCTACTTCTCTAAGGTGTTATCCAAAGCTCAATGGATGAGATCTTAGAAGCAACAAAGGTGGCGCATCCAAGACTAAGTCAATGGTGTTGAAAGAAGGATGAGATCTCAAAAGTTTCCACCATTCATCACGATTAAGGTTGAGGAAGTGAGAATTAAAAGTAGTGCTGACCTTGGAGAGGTCTCATTACTGGAGCAGTAGGTAAGTTAATGAAGAATGTGGTTAAATAATGGGTCATTTATAGAACTAGGCATTAGATGGTGTGAAGCCCCCATGTGCACATCAATTTTATGTCCATGGAGAGATGCGAGGAGATTAATTAGAGATGTGGTGGGGGTTAATGGCGGAAGGGGAGGAGCTTTAAAAAATGTGGAAGACATTGATAGTAGATAAGAAGTGCCTCACTTTATGTACTTCTGAGCAACATATTTATGTTGGCATTTAATGGGAAGTACTCAGCTTTTGTAGCTTTGGGGAGACCTTCGCATATTATTATTTCTTATGTTAATACCTCTTTTATTTATTTATTTTCTTGGAAAAAGAGTGAATTCCAAGGAAAATAATAAAAAATAAAATAAAATGCACAAAATATTGGAATAATGAGATGCTACTGCCATAAAAAAATGTTTGTGTAGGATAAAGATTGAGATGGGCTAAGATACTTTCGTATTGCTAAAAGTTTAATGATTAGATTTTTAGTATTACATTGAAGTTCAAGTCGGAGGCTTCCAAGAGATCGTTAGGACACTACGAAAGGGTTAAACATCGTTTATTATCACAGTGTATATACAAAACAAAGGTCTTCTACTCAAGTAAAATTATCCTCGACATGGCGATAGCTCATAAATAAAAGGGATTAGATGGTTTGAGAGTTTTATTCTCCTTTATGATATCATATAACTTTTTTGAAGTATCGAGAGAATAACAATGCATCATCATCGGAAAAGATCCTTTGAATCCTTATAAGGGATATTCTTGGTTATCGCACTATATTTTGTTTTAGTAATAACATGTTCACAATCATTTTGTAGTTAAGGTAGAGCCATTAGGCTCTTGTGATGGTCTTCACTGGCTATCAAAATCTGTCGTGAGTTGGAGAATGGGTTGGTTTGGGTTCCATCTTGTCGAAATATGATACCAATTGCTGGTCTAAAGTAAGTTGCATGTTTCTAACCTTTTGTAGGGAATACTGTCAACATAAGCTTATGTGGACTTTCATGTCAACCTACATCAACGTTGACCTACATCAAGTTCTTCAAAGTAGATGAACACTGAGCTGATCAGGTAGATGAAGAGGATGGTGTTGTCAATGTACCAAAAATCTTTATTATGCATTTTATTTTTCCACATCAAAGATTAAAAAGAGTCAGATGATATATTGGATCACATTGGTATTAATTTGATTTAATTTAGACTGATGGAATTAAGTTCTTAACACCTATCACATCCTTATTATTAAATATTTTATCGAGGTTAATATGTCAAAATTCTTCTTGGTGCACTATATTCTGAACACCTTTCCACAACAATATGAATTTTTTAAGATTTCATACAACACATATAAGGACAAATGATTAATTAATGAATTAATGACTATGTGTGTTCAAAAAGAAGAGAAGCTAGTGATGGAACTAGGTGAGAGTGCATTGGTGGTAACCACTCGCGGGAAAAATAAAACTGACAAAAATCAAACCAATCAGAAAGCTCATCAATAGGGAAAAGGTAAAATATCACCCCAAGCTGATGTCAAGAAAAAAGTAAAGTATTTCTTTTGTAAAAGGAAGGGACACATGACGAAGGAATGCATGAAATTTCAATAATGACTTGAAAAGAATGGTAAACCATCCTCGTTTGTGTGTTATGAATCTAATATGATTAATGTTAATATTAAAACATGGTGGATTGACTTTCGATCCACAATTCATATTGCAAACTCTTTAGTACGCAAAACTGAAGGAAGCTAATGGGAAGTGAGCAAAGCATCTTATCAGGTAATAAGATGTGCTCACATGTGGAGACAATTGGAATATGCATTTGAACTTTAAGTAGTAGTTTTGTTTTAAAATTAGAAAGGACCTTTTATGTACAAAGTTTCTCATGAAACTTAATTTTTATTTCCAGACTCGTACGTTAGATATTTCTTTAATTTTCAAGACATATCATTTTGTTTATTATATAAATCTAATTGTGTTGGGAAAGGTATTTTGTCTGATGGTCTTTATCGTATTTTCTTACAAAATGATGACACTTAAAGTTCAATGCATGTTCACGCTAGCACTAAAAGGTCCAATATTAATGAGGACTCCTCTATGTTATGACATCAGAGATTAGGTCATATCTCTATAAAGAATTAAACGATTAGTTAATGATGGGATACTTAGTACTCTTGATTTTACTAATTTTAAGACTTGTGTGAACTATATTAAGGGAAAGCAGACCAACAAGTCCAAAAAGGATGTTAATAGGAGTTCAAACATATTAGAGATCATTCATACTGTCATATATTGTCCAAACATGAACACACATGGTCAAACATGAGCACCTAGTCCTTTTGATAATTTTCTTCAAGAACATGGGATTGTTGCCCAATACACTATCCCTGGTTCTCTAGACTAGAACAGTGTTGTAGAAAGAAGAAACTAAACATTATTAGATATGGTGCAGAGTATGCTTAGCAACTCTAATCTTCCTAAGTTCTTGTGGACTGAAGCACTAAAGACGACTGTGTATATATTTAACCGAGTTCAAACCAAGACTATCCTAAAGACACCATTTGAATTATGGAAATGTTAGAAACTAAGTTTGCAACATATGCATGTTTGTGGATGTCCATCTAAGATCAGGATATATAATCCATAAGAGAAGAAACTGGACCCGAGGACTATTAGTGAGTATTTTATTGCATATGTCAAAAAGTCTAAAGGTTATAGGTTCTATTGTCCATCTCACACAACTAGGATTGTGGAATCAAGAATCGCTAAATTTCTTGAGGATGACATGATCGATGGGAGTGATCATTTCAGGAATATAGTTTCTACACATGATCATACAGAATCTCAACCTTCCATATCAAATGATAGATTGGTTATAGTTCATAACACTCCAAGTATAAACTGGTGCTAACAACCAATCATTGAGATTCCATAAGTTGCTGATAGTATTCTAATAGATCAAACAATTCAAGAATTACAATAATCTCTTGAACAACTAAATGAACCACAAGTTCCTCAAGGAAACATTAGTACAACATTAAGAAGATCTACTAGAAATAAAAGATCAGTAATTCTTAGTAATTATATTATATATCTACAAGAATCTGACTATAATATTAGAGCCAAAAATGATCCTGAAACCTTTTTACAAGCCATGAGTTGTAAAGAATCAAATTTATGGCACGATGCCATGAAAGTATAGATGAATTCCATAAAGAGTAACGGAGTTTGGGATCTTATAGAGTTGCATAATGAAACAAAAGCTATTGGCTGCAAATAGGTTTTAAAACTAAGAAAGATTCATTAGACAACATTGAGAGATACAAGACAAGACTTGTTACAAAGGGATTTATTCAAAAAAAGGGAATCGATTATACGAAGATGTTTTTTCTAATATTTAAGAAAGATTCTCTTCATATCATTTTGGCATTGGTTACTCATTTTAACCTTGAGTTACAATAAATGAATGTGAAAACAGTATTTCTTAATGGAGATATAGAGAAAGAGGTTTATATAAAACAACATGAAGGTTTCTCTTATAGTGTTGGTGAACACTTGTTTGTAAGCTTAAGAAGTCTATGTACGGTTTAAAACAAACCTCTCACCAATGGTATTTTAAATTCTATAAAGTGATTTCTTCGTTCGGATTTGTTAAAAATCTCATAGATCAATGTATATGCTGGAAGGTCAGTGGAAGTAAAATATGTTTTCTTATTTTATTCGTAGATGATATTTTGCTTGCAACCAACGATAAGGGTTTGCTGCATGAGGTGAAATAATTTCTTTCTAAAAATTTTGACATGAAGAATATGGGTGAAGCATCTTATGTCATTGGTATTAAGATCCATAGAGATAGACCTCGAGGCATTTTAGGTCTATCATAAGAAACCTATATCAATAAATATTTGAAAAGATTTTAGATAAAGGTTTATTCATCAAGTGTTGCTTCAATTATGAAAGGTGATATGTTCAATTTGAACCAATGCCCAAAGAACAACCTTGAGAGAGAATCAATAAAAAAATTATCTCTTATACTTCTATCGTAAAAAGCCTTATGTATGCTTAGGTATGTACTAGACCTGATATTGCATTTGTTGTGGAGATGCTAGGTTGATATTAGAATAATCCAAGTATGGACCATTGGAGAGCTACAAAGAAAACGATGAGGTATCTACAAGGAACTAAATATTACATGCTTTTATATAGACATACAGAGAATCTAGATGTGATTTGTTACTCAAATTCAGACTTCGCCGATTGTGTTGATTCTTGTAAATCAACATCAGGATATATTTTTATGATGGCTAGTTGAGCTATTTTTTGGAGAAGCATAAAGCAGACATTGACTACTATTTCTACCACGGAAGTTGAATTTGTCTCTTGTTTTGAGGCTACTTCACATGATGTATGACTTAAGAGTTTTATTTCTGGGCTTAGAATCATGAATTCTATTTATAAGTCATTAAAAATTTTCTGCAATAACTCAGTTGTTATTTTTATGGCTAAAAACAATAAAAGTGGATGTCGAAGTAAACACATCGATATTAAGTATATAGCCATAAGAGAACGTGTAAAAGAAAAGAAAGTGGTCATTGAGCATATTGGCACTGAATTGATGATTACTGATCCTTTAACTAAAGGCATACCACATCTTAAATTCAAGGATCATGTAGAGAAAATGAGACTTAGTTCCACTTTATAATAATATTGAAACTCTTATATATATTATGATATTGGTACATTAATTTGAGAAAAATATATTGGTACTAGACCAAGAATAAACATAAGGTTTATTTATTAAGTAATATTACCACATTAAGATAAAGAAACTAAATACGTCATGATACATGGATGATAATACTCATTCTTAGAGGATTTATCGCTATGATTCATATATTTATTTTTTAAGAAAGTTATTTGATAAAAAATAATTCAAATTATTAAGCTAAACGTATAGATTCTCATTAAGTTATTCATCAATTTTATTTATAGGAGTTTAAATGATCATTTTATGATTAATTCAGTTTGTATAGATTGAAAATTTTCCATTTCACCTAACTTTGACAAATCCGGATGAATCCATGAACTTTTTATTTTTTGTATCATTTATACTTGATAACTGTAGTTTAAAAGCCATTCAAAGTTGTTGAATCTCATATGAAACTAATTGATTATGTTTAGATGTTTAATTACATATTAAGTAATGTAAGTCTACTCAATCAGGATTAGACAGTTGACACAGGAGGAATTGACGTTGCGCCGGAGGAAATCACATCAAGATATTGGACGGCATAAGGCTTCGGACGTCGAGCATCGGGCCAAGGAGAGCGGAATTGCGCCAAGGATATCGGGGTTGCGGAGGTCAACTACCGATTGGGCAACAAGCCGCAAGAGAGGACGATGCGCTGAAGAATCGGACGAAGCGCCAACCAATGACGTGTCGGGCAACAAAATGTCAATTCGCATTGTAATAATTGTCTAGATCAGAGTAGAGTTTTGGCTTGTGTGTACATGATTAACTACGATAACGACGAAGACATAAAGCGAAACAAAGTGCTAGAGTCAAGCGCGAAGGATTTGTTGCAAGTTCGAGAGTTCAACGGAAGTCCAAAGGTTCGTCGGGAATGTTGCCGGAACTAGCCGAGAATGAGTAGGGAGCTTGCCGAAGGGTTTTCGAAAGCTCGCCGGAAGGTACGTCGGAAGTTCGCGGAGCTCACCGAGAAAGATCGTAGCTTGCTGAAGAAGCTCGTCGGAACTTGCCAAGATCAAATCGTGAAGTCTAGGAGCTTGCCGGGAGTCCGTAGAATGGTTTCCGAGAGTTTATCGAAAGACCGTCGAAAGTTCGCCGGAAGCTCGCCGGAAGAAGTCTTGACTTGTGGACTTTGTAATAGCTTAGGAAATATCTTTAAATTCATAGTTAGCATGTTAATTAAGGTTAGGATTAGGTGTTAATCCTATAACCCAAGTAGGGGCCAATTGGGCCTGAGTTCGGACTTGTTTGGGCCAAGTTTGGAGCCCAACTAGTGAGCTGAAATAGTGTAGGCGGTGGCACCGCCCAGAACCTGAGAACTGAGCGGTGGCATCGCCCAGAACCCGAGAACTGAGCGGTGGCACCGCCCAGCACCCGAGATGTCCGGCGGTGGCACCGCCGGTACATTGTCAATGTCAGACACTGATAGGCGGTGGCACTGCCATCCTCGGAAACCCAAGAGAATTTAAAATTTGGAGCCCAAATTTGAATTCTCTTAGGGTCTATAAATACCCCTCAATTCTCAGCTGAGATTACAACTTTTGTAAAAGCAATAAATTGAGATAAAGGTCTTAGAAAAGTCTTTAGCGAGTTTTGTCTTAAATTGCTTAAGTGTTCACCTCCGTCTTCCTCTTCAAAAAATTGTAAGAGTGTGAACCACTTGTAAAAGGTTGTAAGAGGGGTATTTGTCCTTCCCCTTCAAAGAGATTTGCTAGTGGAAGTTGGGAGCCTCATTGAAGAAGGCTTCGCAAGTGGATGTAGGTTATTTGACCAAACCACTTTAAATTGACGTGTTCATTCAATGTGTGAGTACTTACTTTTCTGCGATCGTTATCTACACAACAACAAGTTTTCGGTTTTTACTAAATATAGTAACCATGTCTAAACTTATTTAAAACAAGGTCAAACTTTATGAAAATTTTTGAAATGGTTCCAGATAGACAAAATGACAATATTTTCCATTTTTGAGATTTTAAATGATAATTGTTTTTATTAATTCAACTTGTGAACAGGTTGAACTTTTTAAATTCACCTAAATTTCATAACTTATGATGAATAAATAAACTCTTTTGTAACATTTACACTTGATAGTTGGTTTGAAAGTTATTTTGAAATTTTGGTTAAAAAAGACTAAGATTTATACCCGATTATATTATTTTTAGCCCTATTCAAAGATAGTCTAACTAGGTCTAAACCCTATCAAAACAAGATCAAACTTGTTGAAAACCAGATGGACAAAAGTACAATATTTTTTTTATTTAAATGATAATTTTGTGATTAATTCAGCTTGAAATATGTTGAAACTTTTTTATTTCACCTAATTTTGATATATTTTGATGAATCCATGAACTCTTTTATAACATTTACACTTTATAATTGAATTGAAAGCTATTTTAAAATTATCCATAAGTACTAAGATTTAGACCTTGTTACACTATTTTTTTGGACCATATTCAAAACTAATGTAACTGTGTCTAAACCTAGTAAAAAAACAACCTCAAACTTCATGGAAACCTTTGAAATGATCTAAGATGGACAACATTATAGCATTTTTATATTTTTAAAAATTTAAATGATCATATTCTTATTAATCCAGCTTTTGAATATATTGAAAAAAAAAATAATTTCACCTAAATAACATAAATTTGGGTGCTTCCATGAACCCTTTTGTTACATTTGCACATTGGTTCATGGATTAATCAAATTTTATAAAATTTGCATGCTGAATATACCACAAAAATAGAAAATCTTTTGATTTTATCTATCTTGGGCCATTTCAAAGTTGTCTAGCAAGTTTAGATTTATTTTAATAAGTTTTAGACCCAATTACACCATTTTTGGGTTATATTTAAAAAAAGTATCCCTGACCTCTTAATTTTTTTTAAAAAATAATCTTTTTAATAAAATATTTGAAATGACTTGAAAACTCTTAAACGATTATTTAATTTTTAAGTATTTAAGATATACTTTTTTATTTATTTGAATCATTGAATTATATAAATTTAATTTTCTAAGAATCAAAATTAGTAAAAATATTTTAAAGGCTTAAAATTAAAAAAATAATGGTCATCTAAGCCTTTTAAATTTATTTTGAAGATTTCTTGAACACAAAATTTTTTATTTTCAAAATATATTATTATTATTATTATTATTATTATTATACTATTCTTTATTTATATTTAACAATATTATTTTTTTTAATTTATTTATTTTAAATATTTTTATAAATTAAATTATTTTTATATATTATTTTTTATTGATATAAATTAGTAATAATAATAATAAATTATTTGATATTATTTATTTTGGATCGATCTAAGTAGGTTTAGGGTTGGTTCAAATGATTCAATTGAATAGTCTGATTCAATGTTATGAATTAGAGGAGAAAAGATTAAAAAAAGGATTGAAAATTACTTTTTATCAGTTTGAAAATTAGGGGTTCGATGTGGGAATAAATTGAAAAAAAAAGGAGGTGCAAAGTTAGAAAAGAAATAAAAACTTTACTATTAAGTATTTTGCACATGAAAATATCTATTACTATTAAGTATCTTTTGGAACCTAAAATAATCTTTACTATGTTTGCTTTTGAGTTTTGCAGTGTAATATACTCAGTTACTATGATTGCTTCTGTAAGCTCAAATATGGGTTGAAATGATCTATTACTAATGTTATGGTTCACAAGTTGAAATGCTCTATCACAGCATTACCACAGTTATTCTCAGCATGAAAAATTCATATATTATTACTTTGATGATTCATATAAAACTGTGTAATTATATATTGTTTGGATGATTGATACCTTTTAATATGGTTATTAAATACATTTTGTTCTCTATCTTAACTGTAAAATATCTCTATATCTTTACTTGCATCTCACTTGATCACAAGTTAAAGTGATTTCCAAATCGACTTTCTTATCAAAATCGTATTAACATTATTTTAAATCGTCGAAAGTTTTTCACTACACTAATTCACCCCTCCTTAGTGCTCTTGATCCTAATAAAAACTGTGTAATTATATATTGTTCCGATGATTGATACCTATTAATATGGTTATTAATTGTAGATATATAATTTTTTTGTGATTATGAACCACATATATATATATATATATATATATATATATATATATATATAATTATAAAACACATATATAAATACATCTTCCTGTAGAAGAATTTACATTTATATAAGCATAAACGGCAAGAGTTTGTTTCATTGTAAATGGAATATATTTCGTTTTTTTGTTGTAGAGAGAGAGAGAGAGAGAGAGAGAGAGAGAGAGAGAGCCAAAGCCATGCAGAAGAAGTATGTGGTTATCATGACACATGTAGAAGAATCCTCCATCGCCACCACCACCCATTCTTATTCCCTGAATGCCATATCCCTTCTAGAGTTGTAAGCCATTCGTATCTCCGCCTTTCCTTCTCCTCCCTCACCCTTCGCTCTTCACAGCCGATCGTTTCAGACCAAACCCTCGTGCTTCTCACGTCACCAACACGATCATGGCCGCCTGTGGCAGCTTGAGCTCACTGTTCGAGAAGCCGATGCCGGAAAACCCCACGCTGATCGATTCCCTCTCTTCCCGGAATCAAATCATGCCCAACGAACCAGTCGACAACTCCTGCTTCACCGAGATCTTCGGCGAGATCCACTTCCAAGAGACGCCCGCGCCGCCGCCTGCCACCGCGGCCGACCGCGCCCCGTCGTTCGACTTGTCCGACCTCGACCAGAACTGCACGGGCGGCCATGGCGACAAATCGTCCCTGGACTCTCTTCTCGGCCTGGACAAGAAGCAGGACGCATGTGACTCGAGCAGCAGCAGCAGCAACCGCGGCTTCCCTCCGAAGAAGTCGGACAAGCTGCAGCTGTGCACCGAACGCCTGGGGTCAGAGAGCTCCGATGGAGTCGATGACTTGATGAAGGACGGCGGCGACGAGTGGAGTGGCGGTCACCGGAAGGAGAAGATCGATGCCGAAAGGCTTAACAGTGACGGTGGCCACCCGAGGAACTGCTCTGGTGCGAGAACGGAGCCCGGTGGGTTTCCACCGCCGATATCCTCGATAGGTCGGAGCGGCAAGTCATGGAGCTACTTCAGATCTTTCAGGCAGAACGGAAGGTTTGTTCTGAGAGAGGTCAGAATCCCCACGCAGGACTTGTTGCATGCTTCACGCGAAGATGGGCGGCTAAAACTGCAACTGCTCCATCCCGACGAAGACGAAGATGATCAAGAACAAGATGATGATGATGAGGAGGAGGAGGAGGAGCAAGAAGAGAAGGGTCAACAGCTTTGACTAGTTCTTGGTGATTGCCACACTCACAGAGAGTTCCTCCTCGAGGCAGCCTCTCTCCATCTTCTAATGACACAGCACAAAGAGAAAAGAAAGAAAGAAGGTGATCAGAAGAGTTGTTCACAGAGGTTTCTTCTCAGCACCAATAAGAATAGAGTTTATGTGTACTGCTAGAGACGTGAAATTTAGGCCTGAAGAAGAATTGCGCTTCATATGAATGGAGATTACTTGTCAGAATAATAATGACTAACATCTCTAATCAGTTCAAAAATATTTATGTTATCATCAAATATATATAAATTAGATTGTGTCTCATATGGAATGGCATTAATGAAAAAAATTAAGATGATAGATAGCAAAGCAAAATCTCATTGGACTCCACTAAATATACATATAAATATATTATCTTATTAATATTTCACTGCTACTCACATAAAATAAAATAAATAAAAATAGGATATATTTCATCAAAATCTAATGTAACAATTTAGATTGATTGAACTATTCGAAGAGTACGTGACAGATAGATAGATAGTGAAAGGAATATTTTTCCTTTTTCTCCTTTTCCATAAAAAGAAAGATTATGTTACTTTAATTGTAAGTAACACCTCAGACTTTGCTCATCAAAGAATAAAAGAGATATCTGCAGATCAGAGGGGAAATCAGATCTTCCAATGAGCACATCGATTATATTTCATAGACTTGTTTCTCTTCATAGCCAATTTCCTGTGACATCAATCGAGCTTGGTATTTTATGGATTGAAATGGATCAGAATATGTACGATAAATAACTCATTCACACTCCCATCTCCTATCATCATCAGTGGGTGGCAAACACTCTTTTTGACTTCTTTTTTCTGGATTCACAGGTCTTTCCTGATTGCCATCATAAACGAATCAATCCAGAGAAAAAGGAAGAAGAAGAAGAAGAAAGTACTGTTCATAACTTTATAGTAGAGGAGGCAAATGGAAGTATATTGGCATTCCGAACTTTACAGCTACGAGACATATTGCATCACGGGAAACAGTGCAAAGCTTTCTATGGTTAGATCTTCATGAATGCAAATGGAGAGAATTTGTTGTCAGGTCGTACATATCATATAAAGCCTTCGCACCATTCGTCGATAAGCATATTTCTTTTAGCTTTTTGGTGGGGAAATATGCCAATGTAGAGTTTTAGGTCTTGCATTAGATTCCTTGGACTTACGCAGGGCTGACGAACAACTGTTGTGTTCGTTGTCTTTTGTCTTGTGCTTGGATATCAATGTCTTTTCGATGATCTAAGCTTTTCGATATGAGTTGAGAACTCACCTCACTTGAGGGTATGTACATGTTTTCAGTCTAGATTTTTATATGAGAATAATGCCAGTCAATCATTCCATTCCTTCCACAATTGGCACAACTTTGAACTTGCATTTGCTCAGAATCACACATTAATTACCCCAACCTAATTGGATCCCAAGTATGGCATGAAACTCCAAGTCGGCACCACTAGCAATCGACCTAACTACGTTATCATATCTCGTCAAAGAACCGAAGAATTCATCTAGCAATTCACTATGAGGACAATAAGTCCCCAACTATAAAATTGGGAAGAGACACTAACTCACTGTAGAACCAAAAATTACTTTGAGGAGGAGGCCGAACTCCTCAACTCGGATCATTAATGTCCTCTATATAACAATAGTGATCGATATAGTTTAGATCATCATCTAGTTCGATGCATTTCAAAAACTGGGTTTGCAAGTGACTTACATCGTCTAGATGTCTTCTACTTCATTTAGATTTACAAATGACTCCATCTACCCTCTTAGGATGATCAATTTGTGTGTGACATTTAGCTCGAAAAATTTGATAACGCAACAGGTGGTTAATACCCTCTTGATTTACAATAACCATAGTCTCTACTTACCATATGTTTATGAAGTTTTCAACCCGACTACAAGCTAGGGAATTAAAAAATATTTCTGAAGAATTTTGTTAATGATTGTCCATCAATATCTGTGAGAGGAATTCGAGATTTGTGAATTATTGGTTAAAGTATTTTTTCGACTTGAACTGGCCTGATCATTTAACTTTTTAAGGATAAATATCAAAATGTTCACTTATAAAATGATATATCCAGAATCGATCAAATATCCATGAAGCATATCATTTATCATATTTATGAAACATCGATATCATAATATATGTACATATTTATTTATTTTTTATATATTCTGGATATACTTTAATATACTATGAAACTTTGGGCATCACATATGATACCTCTAACCTTGAATCATTTCTATATGGAAAGATAATATGCATGCAAAACAAAAGAGGTCTATGACTAAGGTTATAAAGCAAATTACATCACATGAAGTGCGTGCTTGTTTAAAGGTGAAATATTGATGAGAATAAAGGATGACATGAAATTCAATTACGGTAATGATGCCTAGCAATAGTCATAATTATTTAGAAAACAAAATCTCCGTATTCTTTTTATTAACGCAATCGGTGTTGTTTTAAGATCCGATAACCCGCAATTTAGTTCGGATTCGGGTTGGATTTGCGGGTTATTTGGGCCCGTCGATATATTTGCATCGTTTGATCACATCTTGAAGCGGAACCAAGTGGCGCTTAAACCCCGTGATGACCCGCGACGGCAGTCTCGGGCGGCGATGCCTCGCGAGCGTCGCCGTCGCCCGCCGCTCCCCTTGCGATGTGCTCCCCGCCGCAGCCTTCTCCTCCTCCTCCACCTCCACTCCACGGCAGGCTGCCGATTCCCTTGAACAAGATGCGGATGCCATCGCCGCCTCCGTGCGCTGTTGCCGTTGGCCTGCTCTCGACCCCCTTCTACCCCGCCTCTCCCATCCTCTCCTCTCCGCCGTCCTCCTCCGCCTCCGCCCCTCTCCCGACCTCATCCCCCGCTTCCTCCACCGCGTCGGACTCCACCGCCTCGATCTCCGCTCCCTCTCTACCGCCGCCGCAATCCTCTCCTCCCTCCGCCCGCCCAACCCCGCCCTCCAACTCCTCAAGAAAGCCATCAGCGCCCGCCGCTCCGACCTCCCAAAGCATCTCTTCGACGCCCTCGTCGAAGCCCACCAGGAGCTCGAGCTCTCCGACCCCCCTGTGGTGTTCGATCTGTTGCTCAAGGCCTACGCCGACGCCGGAGAGCCGGAGAGAGCTCTGCAAGTGTTCTATCTCATGAAAGATGCCAACTTTGTTCCAAGGATCGAGTCTTGCAATGCTTTGTTGAGCGCGTTCTTGAAGTCGGATCACAAAGACAGAGCTTGGGTTTTGTATGCCGAAATGTTTCGTATGAGGATTCCCTCGACTGTTGTGACGTTCAACATCATGATCAATGTGTTGTGCAAGGAAGGGAAGCTCAAAAAGGCTAAAGCTTTCATGCAGCACATGGAGAGCTTTGGGGTTTGGCCGACAGTCATCACCTATAACACCATTATACATGGGCATTGCTCACGCGGCAAGGTCCAAATGGGTATCGAGATGTTGGATATCATGAGGGAGAAGGCGATTGAGCCCGATTCCTACACCTATGGCACACTCATTTCTGGGCTGTGCAAGGAAGGGCGGCTGCAAGATGCATCGATGATGTTTGTTGAAATGCAAGACAGAGGTTTGGTCCCAACTGCCGTAACCTACAATGCTTTGATTGATGGGTGCTGCAACAAGGGAAACTTGGATGATGCATTTAGGTACAGGGATGAGATGGTGGAGAAGGGAATCGAGCCAACTGTGTGCACCTACAATTTGCTTGTTCATGCTTTGTTCATGGAGGGGCGGAACGAGGAGGCTCATACTTTGATTAAAGAGATGGAACAAAAAGGAATGGTACCTGATGCAATCACATTTAACATTTTGATCAATGGGTACTGCAAGGAAGGGAATGCCGATAAGGCATTCAAGATGTTTGAGGAGATGAAAGGGAAAGGGATTCGTCCAACTAGGGTAACTTACACTTCCTTGATTTACGGTTTTTGTAAGAGAAACCGATTAGCTGAGGCCGATGGTTTATTTAAAGAGGCCATGCATAAGGGTTTGTTGCCGGATCTCGTGATGTATAATGCATTAATTGATGGACATTGTGGTGGTGGAAAAATGGAGCGAGCTTTCGAGCTTCTGAAGGAGCTGGAGAGAAAAAAGATAGCTCCTGATGAAGTTACTTTCAATTCACTGATGAGGGGGCTCTGTTTGTTGGGAAAAGTTGAAGAGGCCCGTGGACTAATTGACGAGATGACCAGACGGGGGATCATACCTGATCTTGTTAGTTATAATACTTTAATCAGTGGTTATAGCAGAAGAGGTGACGTGAAGGATGCTTTAAGTGTAAGAGATTTAATGCTGAGTAGGGGTTTCAATCCTACACTTATAACATACAATGCCCTGATACAAGGTTTGTGTAAAAATGGGGAAGGCGATCATGCTGAGCAGCTTCTTAAGGAGATGGTGAGCAAAGGTATCACTCCTGTTGACAGTACGTACATGGCACTGATTGAGGGCCTCGGCGATGGCAAGAAAACAATAAAGAATGAGTAACGTTAATGTGTCAAGCTCATGTCCCACAAAATTCAATGGTGAAACTGCTGCAGCACATCTTCGTCGTAACTTATCTGAACTTCTACTCGATCATTTGATGAAATCTGTCCAGTTATATCATGGATAGTTGGCTCCTTGCTGACACATTATACTGAAGGTGTCAAGGTGTTCATTTCTTGGTGATTGGTATTTATATGTCCCTAAGGAATTGTTTTGAGTCACCATCCACTAGGTAGAGAAGGCATAGGCACTTGTTTTTATTTGTTTGATGAGTTAATCAGAGACATTGTAATCCATATTGTAGCATGAAATATGGTTCTGGAAATTAGTTGGCTATTAATAGTTCAGAAACTAAGTGAATTCAATTATTATTTTTTCTGCTGGATGTTCAGACCATTTCCATTTTGGTGGCAGTTTAGTGCACAATTGAACAACGTATGTTCTTGCTTAGGTATCTTAAGATTAATACTTGATTACTACTTAGCAAAGCATTGTGTTGTGTGATCTAAGATGAACTGCTGCTATATGTTATGACCAATATCTTTGATGGTATCATCTGCTAAGGCTGTTTCCTTTGGTGTGACTTGTGGACTGGTCAAACTAGGCATTGGAATATGAAACTTGGTCAAATGGATCTGACTTTTTGGAAAAGCCTTTATTGTGATAAACAACACAGTAACACAATCAGAAGAAAGTCGAGGACTTAATGTTCTGTGCATTTGCAGATTATTCATATTTCCTTTACAGAAGCAGGTAGAATTAGTCCACATAATTTCTCCAGCGATTACTAGCATACTTCAATTTATATGTTTGAAAGTACCAATGTCAAAACTATCAATATCTACTGGGAGTGACAATTTGGCAGTTAGTTCAAAACTTGTGGTCTCAATCCATAAACATTATCTTAAATTATGAACTCTTAAGTTTTGGAAGACAAGTGATGGCATTTGAATCCCAAGTTTGTTTAAAAAAAAAAAACCCAAATTTGGTTTGATTTGGTTAAGTTTTGATTGAACCCAATCAAAAACATAGATCGTGCTATCAACATTGAAGGTGTTTATCAGATAACTTAATTGACACATCTTAAAATAAATAAATAAATCAAATAAGATTTTGAATCCCTTTTTTTTTAATAAATGATAAGTATCATAGATGCATGTATTACATAAATATTTTCTATTATAGTGGTTAGCAATCCAGAGTCCAAAAGCATGTTTAAAGTAGATAATTTGGGGACGTATATACAAAAGGTCAAGGACCATTGGAGTGATTAGAGGTTGTCTCATGACAAAATATTTCATGACAAAATATTTCATGACAAAATATTTCATGAAATATTTTGTCCCTTTGTGATAACTCATATTCAACACAATGAAGAGAGGGTTTACTTTTTTTTATTACTTACCTCCACACTTATACATATCAGGTTATTAACCTGTCGAAGGAATCGAATCGGAAAAACCTTTCCCTATTTATATCTTTGTACAGGTAGTTTGACGTTTCCATCTTGGACAATCATGCACATATGTATTTAGATCATATCGATCTGACCAAGATGTTAACGGTATTTTTTCTCATCATGATATAAATAATTTTTATTAAGATATTATGAATTTGTGAAAAAATATACAAGATTCAATTCTAATGTATCAATTCTAACCTCGTGGTCATTGAGCTAAAATGAAGGATGAATACGTAAATCACTTCCTGTAGAGGGACGTATATGTAATTTTGTCTACGCTATAAGAGAACCGGTACTTAAACCCTAGCCGCCGCTCACAACGTCTTCCTCCCGTCTTTTTTTTGCCTTCTTCCTCCGCTGCCGCCTCTTCCGTTCCTCTTCGATGGCATTCGTAGCCGTCGACGGAACGGAGAAGCGGTGCGTCCTCCTCGACTTGCTGTTGTACTTACAGTAGATGTCTGATCTTCCTTGTTGACATCGAACGGTTCTTTTGCGCATCCAATGATGCCATTCTATATGCCTTCATTTGTCACATCGTTGTTGATCCAAGGCTTGTGTTTTAGATCCGTTAATTGTGTTTCTCTCCCCTTTTTCATTTTGAACTATAATCTCTAGTGGCCTCATTTCCCCCTTCTTCGCCTTTGTTCTGTTGCTTCAATTCATTTGGAGCACCTAATGATGGCCTCAGTAGTGGCAGTTGTTTTCGACCAATGTTATACTTCACCTGATCGGTTGTCATGTGTTTCTCTCTTTAACCTTTGATTGTGTTGTTGATTCTAATAGGTTGCTTGCTTAATGAGTCCTTTAATTTTGCGGCTGCAAATGAAGTAGTTCATTTCGAGTAAGTTCTTATCGTTGGTTAGATAATTTGCTCCTGAATTTTTAAGAGAGCAAGTTGTACACCATTGATGTACTTTAAGAAAGGATATGATGGCTTAATTGTAAAAGGTCTGAGCAAGAGGACATATATGATTGCAATGAGATGGTTTTGGGCCAAAGGAAGAGGACCCTTGCCCTTGCTCAAGTTGTAGCACTGTGGTTGTCGCAAGCTCTTCTACATTAAGTGGATCATGCTTGTGCATGACAATGGGTTGGAGAAAAGAAAAAGGCGTGGGCTGCATTTTAATTATGAATGTTGGCCTAGACTTCTCCCTATATACCGAGTAGGATGCTAGAAACCATCTGACTGCGGTCATGTTCTCTTCATTGATCAAATTTCTAAGCTGATCCTTGGACACTTACATCAACTTTGCTGTTTTAGTTTTCTTTCTTGAAAGGTTGTCTGTAACTTGAGATTTCATGTGTTGTTGGCACTGATTTTGATGGTGGCGTCTACCATTATGTTATTTTCTAGATAAGGAAGCTGCCACAAAAATGATTGTTTTTCCCCATGTTCTAGTGTTCTACACAATTTTTTGGATAAATGATTGCTTATTGGTTATGAACTTTAGGATCAGTCAACTTTATATTTTTCATACAAGTGATATATTCTTTTCTTTGTGACAGTGAAATTTTGCATTTTTCTGGTTGTTTATTAATGGTTAATTACATATTCTATTAATGTAATGCGTAAAAATTGGTTTCCTGCATGATCCAAAGAAAGCATGTATCTGTACTCCTCCTATATGGTAATTCCAATCATGCAAAACTAGTTTTGCTTACTGTTTCAGTTTGAAAAGATGATAGTTTTTGAACTGGGTATTTTTAGAAAAGTGGATTGTTTTGCTTTTGGATGTGCTTGGTTCGGTTTTGGTTATCAACCATTAACAAATTGGCACAATGCAGACTGAACCAAATGCATATGCATGTTTTGGTTAATTCAATTCAGAAGCTTCACGTTTGGCCATTGGAATTCTTTCGATCAGGGCTTGGCTCCATTTTCCCCTCTCATGGTTGTCCACTAGATTCCTCTGTCTTTCTTCATCTCATTCTTTCTCCCATAGCCAGATATGCTAACCCTAATCATAGTCTTTTCTTTGCCCTCTACCTCATGGATAATCCACAGTTGCTGCTACCCTTGCAGTCCTTCCTGGTAGCTGTGGAGGGGTCTGACAATATGATTTGGTGGTTTTAAGTTGGTGCTGATCGACCGAGCAGCAGGGGTTGCTTGGTAGATCAAATTGGAGCACTATAGGGTGAGGCTTGAACCAGGATTTGAGATGCTACAATGGTGGCTTTGGTCTCTTTGCTCTTGTTAAGGTGGCAGTGAAGCCCGGGTACTGTTGATGATGTGGGGGCATTCCAGTGAAGAACAGCCAAGATGAAAGAGCTGAAACAATGACAGAGGCCAACTATGTGTGAGAAAAGGCAAGTTTTCCATTCCACCCTTGAAGTTTATACAAGATGAGAAGCTTGCTCTTTTGGATCAGCTTGTTGTCTTGGAAGGTCTTCTTGATGAAGTGAACCTCCCACTAGGACAAATTTGTCGCATGACTTGGTATTCTCTTGAGATATATCATCTGGAACTTGCAATTTTGGACAATTGATAGAGCTGAGACTGACGTCTGGAATGTGTGTACTCCATCATTAATTATCGATTGCCAGAGTGGAATATGGTGATGGTGCTTGGAAGTTTATATACAATATGAAGTGTCTCTCATCAGATTCATTGTTGTCCTCCATGTATAGGAAAGAATTATTGGAGCACTTGACCTTCCTGTTTCTTCGACTCGAGAATTATTTTCCCCAACAAATTGATTTGCAACTCAAATGTGGGGACTAAGGCCTTCTCCTGGTCTGCTGTTTGCGACCGCCGAATTTTCTATGCATAACAAGGGCTGTGAAACTTCCTTTGTCCTTAGAGAATCAAGGAATGCTACAGGCCGTGGATGTGTGAATTTTGTGGCCATGGCCATGGCTTGATTATTCCATAAATGACCTCTATTTGGGTGAGACTGACTTGTCTTAGACTCGGTAATGACAAGAATCCTTTATTTCTTCGTCTACAAGCAAACGATTCTATTATCTTTGGTCACCGATGTACATGACATTGTATGGTTGGTTTCATTATTATGCTTCAAAATTGTTGAAATTGATTTATATTTTTGTAAATCCTTAATTAATGTACTCATTAATAATGTAGGCAAAGACAAGTTGGATTTTATATTTGAAAATTAGGAATATTTTTTTAATTGTTTGTAACCTTAATTGTTTTAAATCATCCAAATAATATTTTTTTAATTGTAGATTGATGGG